GAGTTTTATAGAAGTCAGATGGATTTTAGAGGGCGTCTGGAGATATACGGAGAATAGACATATGAAATATTTGATCTCATACAATGAGAAGCAAGCCCTATTGGAGCGCAATTATCGGGGTTCCTTTAAGAGATATCAAAGGTCCGTTAACTGGTTAATTGTTTATCATAATATCACTAACATTTTATCAGTGTACAGAATTTTGATATCTTTTAGAGGAGCCGAGATAATTGAGCTCAAAGTTCACATCATAATGTGAGCTTCTGCAGGATGGTCGTCATTTATAGGATGTTAAAGCAAACACTTCAACAAATTAAAGCAAATACAACAATAATTTTTATTCAATTAAAAATCAGCTTCTTCAAAATTTAAAAGTTTTGCAAATCGATGTTTGCACCAGCATCTTCAGGAGGTTTCGTCCCTGGAACTTCCGATGACGTGTGACGAAGTTAAAGACGAAGAGCTGGTAGAACCATAGTAGGGACCTAAATAGCAGATGTTGATTATTTTTTGGTATGAAGAATGCTCACGTTGTTGACGTCCAATTCTTTATTTAGACATCTGAGGTTCTGGTAGACTGAACTTCTCAATAATGACCATAACAGACCATAACTTCTCAATAATTGAAACTTTTGACTTACAGTAGTTGGAAGCTGAAGCGGACTATAGCTGACTAATAAGCCCTTCCAGTTAGGTCCCGATATAAACAAATCCAATGGATTGTTAGAATCTTGAGTTTTGGAGTCCCAGTCCACCTGTCCACCCAAATGCTTCGAACAATAATGCATATGCGGATTGACACCTTCCGTAGACTCTTCCATATCTTTTGCAATTGACTGGATTCTTTTTACTAATTTTGTGATCATTTAAATGTGGGGGGACATGAATAAAATAATGTTCTCGGAATTTCGTTTAAATATGCCTCTCGAGGAGTTGAACGTGTGGGACGAGGATTGAGGGTGCGCCGCCGCTACCGACTGAGCTACACAGGCAAAGAGAAAGCGGTCGCCCGATTGCATACATAAAGGCGAGGACGACAGCTGTACGCAGAGTGACATTAAGCGTTGTACACCGTTACGGTAGAATGCATACTCTGGCCCCAAAAATCCCCCGTAAAATCTCCTGTCCCCCCACCTTTAAAAGATGTTTAGTAAGATGTACAACTTTCTGGAAGCGTTGAGAGCAGTTGGCTGCTACACATTCGAACTCTGATGCCTCCGCGGACCAATGCTTTACCATGTGTCGACGCAACTTCACGGCAACATTATAACCTTCGGCAAAATCGCAGTTAGGTCTTGGACAACGGTGTAGCTGTATGAGATTGCTAATGTCGATTTTTTTTGAGCGTTTGTAGATGGTGATATTAGCTCCTCAGAATGAGCGTTATCCTGGAAAAAAAACATTTTTTAAGCTCATTTTAAACTAAACGTTTAGAAGCACATACTGAATTTGAAGAGTCCATGGCTTGAAAATGTATAGAAAATGATGGTTGTTATATACTAAAGAGAAAAGGGGAGGTATAATTAAAAGTGTTACCTCAAAGTGCACTTCTCACTAAAATCAAGTCTCCCGGCGGAATTTATTAATAACAAAAATAAGGAATCAGGCTGTCTGGACTTTGGAAGTGAACTTCTGGGTTCGGTGATCTTCTCCGCAATATCACGGCATGGTTAGCGCAATGAATTGCTTATTTTTGTGTCCAGATGTTAGTGTTGCCTTGCTATATAAAGCCGCTAATTGACATAGATTGTGCACCATTCCTCCTTTGTATATTACAAACACATCTGGAGTCATTTGCACTGGGGATACCATAGTGACACTATTATACTTTTAGGGTAGAATCTAGAAGAAGAAGAAGGAGAGGAAATGAGGGAGAAGGTGCAAGCGGGTTGGATTATAGGGTAATGAGGGAGCTCCGAGAATGGAAGAATCCGAAATTATAGGCTAATGAAGGAGCTCCAAATGTATATAGGAGTCCAATTGAAAAAAAACAAATCTGATGAAAGTTTGAAAACTGAACCTTCAAAGTTATTTTTTATTCAAATTTATCAGAGTTCAATGGGAAAGCATTGAACATAAAACAAAAATTCAATAAAAAGATAATAAAATTCAAGAATTCGAAGCTCTAAATTGATCCAATAGATTCTGGACAAGTGCTGGATCAATCGGTGGCATGTTTATCTGAAATTTGTCTTTTTTAATTAAAATTAAAATTGAAATTCAATAAACCTGAGCAATTTCACTACGATGAACCCAGTGAAGGCCTTTTTCCGGGCTAATTTGTAAGACGGAATCCGAGGGCTGAATTGGATAAGACTCCTGCAATGTTTTTAATTAGATTAATCAGCTAATTAACAGAATTTCTCACCTCTAGTTTAGCATTGTTCATAGTTGGCAGAAACTTCAAAACGTTGAGAAATAGGTTGTTTTCTGGGATCAAAGGGTTCAAAGGACCGGTTTCTGAGGTGGGAGGCTCATTGACATACTGATTCTGAGCTGGCACTTTGGTAGGAGCATTCTGTAATTCAAATTAAGGGTTTCTTTTTTTTCTCTTGAAAATCGGCGACCACCGACCGTCCGCCGACCAACCACCGACCGAAACCGTGCATTTGCGTCTCACATGTTTGCGCACGCAGTTCCCAAAGCCAAAGATGCATAGTTCGTCGTAGAATAGAGTGCTGCGTACGCAAACACTCTCTGAAATGTTGACGGATCCATTTGGCGGTCGGTCGGACGGCTTAGTTTCCCCGATCAAATGGAAGTCTCAATTTACAGTGTTTCTCACCGTTGATGGTCCATTGTTTAGCAGACTTTGTGAACAGTTGAACAATGAATTATATTCAGGGAGCACATAGTTCGAAAGTCCGCTTTCCGGAGAAGAAGGCTCATTGACAAGCTTATTCTTTACTGGACCGTTGATAGGAGCATTCTGTAGATCAAATCATTAGTTTGGTACCTGAATATAGCAAAAAAAGGCTTACCCTCACATGATCCCAGTAGTAGTGGCCTAACATTGCTTCGGGATTCAATTGTGAGGAAAGACAAATCTTGCATTTCTGAACATTATATTCAGAAAGTCTATGGGTGTATTTTAAATGGGATTTCAGGCTTAAAATAGTTGGACAATGCATATGACAACCCTTCAAAACACATGGAAATGGCTGATTTTTGTTGTCCCAGTGGATCCAAATGTGCCGTTTTAGCTGTAAGAATTAATCATTACTATTAACAAGCAGTGAGGACGAGGGAGGAGGGGAGAGGAAAGCCAACACATCTTGAAACTATAAATATCTCAATTTCCCAAAGTTTCTAAACCCCGGAAAAATTATTTTTTGAACCTCTTCATGAGATTACGGGTACTGTAAGCGGACCCCAGGAGGTTCAGCTCGGGCGTAAACCGACTGGTTTCAAATTATTTCGCTTTCTGTCAAAGATTGAAAAAACTTGTTAACTGATAAAATGTCGTTCATAATAATCCAAACGTTTTATCAGTTGACAACTTTTTCATATCATCGACAAGAACCGAGATATATTGGCTCAAAGTTAACGGTCACTGCTTAAAGAACCAAAATGCATACATCGTGAAATTTCGATTTTCAAAAATCTCGGATAGTTTGGAAAATTTAGAAATTCCCACATACCAAATAACTATTCTGAAATGTCTCCTCACAAAAATCACACTTATGCACATTTATATTGAAATGAGCATTTCGATGAGCCATATATGTTCCATACTGCATATATTTATTTATACAAAATTCACATTGGAACATTCTTGTGGTTGTTGGCATCTGAAATTTTCAAGAATCATGTTTCAGCCATTTTCAGAAGGTTTTCCATTTTTTATACAGCTTACTAGGATTTGCTTAAGATGATTCGAATCATCAGAAGTCACCGGAGGCGTTTCCAAATAACCAAAAAGATCCTGAAAATTTAAAATGTTGAACTCCCGCTATATTTCAATTTTTCGAACTAACTTTTTGTGCTGCTTCCATTAGTCCAGCTAAATCCTAAAATTTCAAAAAATTTGAACTCCCGCCAATTTCAAACAACTCACTTGTTTTGGAACTTCTGCAGGTTTAGAAGATGAAAAGTCCATGATTATTAGATGATCTAGAAAACACAGATGAAGCCAAAAAAAATGAAAAAAAAGAAAAATTCATAGAAATTTGAGAAGATGTCAATGTGTCAAAAAATGGGAAACTAAGAATAAAAAATTTGGGTATTATAACAAAATTAGAGTCTTCAAAATGTTGAAATTAGGTTTTCCAGATAAATAATGCATAACGATATTCAGAAGGAACCAGGATTTATCTAAAAAATGAGCCATCACTTTCTAGGTAACTATGGTGATATTTTCCAACGGAAAATAAATCCAAAGGAAGAAAAAAAAGAGGAAAGGAAGAAAAGGGCAACGTCCATATTCCTGGGTGCTAATTAAACAGACGGAGACGCAGACGGAGGATTTGCTCCCCTCTTTTGGATTCAGTAGAAAAACAAGACCGAGTAAACATCCAAATCCAGTATCCTAGGAGATTAGGCGAATGGAAAATAGAAAAAGCAAGGTTTTAGAAAAGTTGGAATTTGTCGAAACCAAGAAGGTTCCAGAGAATATTCAAGAGGCTACCTGAAAAAGTTTAAGGATGAAAAATTGTAATGCCGCGTTCAAAAGTTGATTTCCAGGAGTAATTTCCTGGAAAAACGCTGTCCAAAGCTGCGATTGTTTTCCAGATTTACAGCAACAGTAAACTACTGTATCACTCGTTTTGACTGTGTTCTTCCTGTTGATTCATGTCGATTTACGGCGGGTCTCGAAGCGGAGGCCTGTGGAAAACAATGGCAGCTTTGGACAGCGGTTTTCCAGGAAATTACGGCTCTTGTCTAGTTTAGAGGTCCCAAAAAAGAATTGAGGTCCCAAAAAAGAATAGAGGTCCCAAAAAAGAATAGAGGTCCCAAAAAAGAATAGAGGTCCCAAAAAAGTTTAGTGGTCCCAAGAAAAAATAGTGGTCCAAAACTTAAAAATGCACAGATACCGGAATAATGTACTAAAATTTGAATTGTGTAAGAATTTAAAGTTTTGAGGTCTTATAGCAAAATAATTGTTGATGATATATTTTATACTTCTAATAGGCTTAGGAATGCATATTTTCTGACAATTATCTAAGCCTGAGAGACAGCATAATCTCGGAGTGATCACTGTATTGCCCAAATTTTCCTCATATGTAAATTGGGTGGAATTCGAATTCCACCACAGGGCGAGATATC